AGAGATGGCAGCATCCTCAGAGACCCCCGCCTCAGTAGGATACTGACGCCAGCCCCACGTGCCAGCCCTGGCCAGGATGCCACAGGATTATCCCCCAAGCGGGTGGCACTCAAGGGACCCAGTCACCAGCCCTTAGCTTCCCCCATCATGGAGACTCTGTTGTTACTTACGTTGTTGCTGTCGTAGACTACGCTGCCAGGCGGCCCGGGCGGCCCTGGAGGACCTGGGGGTCCCGGGGGACCCTGCAGAGGGGAAAGAAGATGCATGAGGGTCCTGCAAAGTGGACAGTCCCCATCGGGGGGGACACCAAGGCCATGCCCTGCCCCAGAGAGGCAACCAGTCCCTGAGGGAGGGAGTCACATCCCCTTTGCCAAAGGGATTTGGGTCACCAGGGAGAACCTTGGTGCGTGTCCCCCGTCATGTGCTGGCCCAGCAGCCTGGGAGGACTGTGGGGGCTCACCCGCAAGCCCAGCAGGCTACTGACATCCGCGGGGTCACCCTTCTCACCCTTCAGCCCATTCATGCCAGGACGTCCCTGTGGATGAGCAGCACAAATGAGTCTTGTCCCCTGTCCCCTCACCAGCTCTGGGGTGACACCCAGCATCACCGCTGGCACCCCAGCATCACCCCACCCCTCAGCACCAAGGGACATGATGGGGTTTGGGGTTCAGCGGGTGTAAGATGTGCAAACAGGGTGGGGGGGATGCGGTGGAGGAAGCAATGGCCGAGGGGACAAACAAACCGGGAGCAGGTCTTACGGGTCTGCCCGGAAAGCCGATCTCTCCCTTCATCCCGGCTCGTCCCTGGGGACCCTGGAAGGGAGAGAAGATGAGGACAGGGGGTGCTCAGAGCAGGGGCACCCCCCTGTCGCTCTCTGCTCTAGGGACAGGAGGAGGATGACGATGGTGACTTACCAAGGGTCCCATCGGTCCCCGCAGCCCTGGCTCCCCCTGCAGACAGTGGAGAGGGAAAGGACATCACCACCGGCACCCACCGGGCACCCGTCACGCAGGTGACATGCCCCCGTTCCCGCAGCACACCCACCTTTTCTCCTTTCACCTTCGCGGTGACCACAGTCCCATCAGGGCTGATGATGACACCGGGCTCCCCCTTCTCCCCCTGCAAAAGAGGAGGAGGCACGAGGGAAGATGGAGGAACCCATCCATGGCAGGGCTGCCATCGCCACTGGCACCCGGTGACCAGGCAGGACAGGGGTCCAGGAATGTGACCACCCCACGTGGCGGAGGTGACCCAAAACAGTTACCTTCGAGCCTGGGGAGCCCTGGGGACCAGGCAAGCCCCGATCTCCTTTTGGTCCCACTGGGCCCTGCAGGGAGGAGCACAGAGCTCACATTAGC